CCTCATAAGAGCCACTCAGGATTATACTGGGGTTCAGCTTCCAAACCAAAGATGAAGAGATTTTTTTCATAGATGGCCACAAATCCGTGGTGGTAAAAATAACTCACATTTGATGTGCTCTCTTTTTGATATATATTTATTTATTTATTTTTAAAGATTCATTTTATTTATTTAGGCATACAAGAGCTGGGGTGTGGGCCAGAGGTGTGGGGTTAGGGGAGCTTGTATGTAAGGGAATTCACCAGAGGCAGAGTGAGGGGAGGAAGAACAGGTGGATCTACTGAAATACACTGCTGAGAGGAGCTGTAGGCAAGACAGGAGAGGTCTGCTGTGCCATGTGGGTCACCTCCCGGGCTGGGGATCAAATTCATGGTGCTGTGGCTTGTGATAGCTTCATAGTGCTGAGACTTTAACCCCTGTACCACCGGGGGCTCTGGCTTCATTTTTAATAGAAAAAAAAATTGAAACAATATATGCTGGCAAGGTATGGAGAAAAAGAAACATTCATTCATTCTCGGTGGGAATGTAATGTGGTGCTGCCTTTATGAAAAATGGAGATTTCTTAAAATTCTAAAAATAGAAATGGCATGTGATCCAGTAATACCTAAGAATTTACCCAAATGAAAACACCAATACGAAAAGATGTTGCACCTCTAGGCTCACAGCAGCATTATTCACAATAGCCAAGCCACAGAGTCAACCTAAATGCTCATCAACTGATGACTGAGAAGAAATTATGGGATATATACTCAATGGAATACTACTCAGCTATTTTGAAAAGATGAACAAGTTCCTTTTAGGACAAAATGGACAGAACTTGAAGTGATTATGTTAAATGAGCTAAGTCAGAAAGTGTAAAAGACAATTACTGGTTTCATTCATTTGTGGAATATAGATCACCAAAGAAAACAAGCTGACAAAACACAATATAAATATATATATATTTAATTTTAAAAGTTTGTTTTACTTATTTATGCATAGAAGAGCTATGGTATAGGCCAGAGGTGCAAGGGCAGAGGGCTGAGAGGATTCACCAGAGACAGAGTGGGGAGCAGAACAGGCAGATCGAAGTACACTGCTGAGGGGAGCAGCGGGCGGGTCAGGAGAGATCTGCCACGCCATGTGGGTCACCTCCCTGGCCAGGGATTGAACTTGTGCCGCAGTGGCTGCAGAGAGCTTCATAGTGCTGAGGCTTAACCCCTTGAGCCACCAGGAGACTCAATAAAAATAATTCTTAAGACTCTGTGAAAAATACGGTGGTTGGCCCTCCCTGGTGGCGCAGCGGGTTAAAGCGCAGCACTGAGAATCTGAAGCCACTTCCGCATGAGTTCGAAGCCACTTCTGCATGAGTTCGATTCCCGCCTGCCGCCTGCCCCGGAGGAGACCACATGGCGAGCCAGACCTCTCCTGGCCCGCCCGCTGCTTCCCTCAGCAGTGTACTTCGTCAATCTGCCTGTTCTGCTCCCCACTCTGTCTCTGGTGAAGCCTCTCACCACCCCTGAGCCTCTGGCCTGTACCCCAGTTCTGTATGAATAAATAAATAAATCTTTAAAAAAAAAAAATACGGTGGTTATGGGGGGTGGGAAGAAGCAAGGGGGAGGGGTTGGGGATGGCAGTGTTTCAGCCCAGGAGATTTGGTACAGGGTGAAGCATGTGCACATGTTGAGGTATGAAGTTGTCTCCTCAAATTATATGTTATACAAATGAATGGCAAATCAAAAAATTTGAAAAATAAGGTTAGAAAAAGGTAAAGGAAAGAAACTAAATAACCCTAAAGGGGGAATCTAGTTGAAGAAATTATGGTCAAGGTAAAATAGTAAGTAAATTATACACATATGGTTACAGCTGCTGGTCAGAATTTATAACATAAAAAACACTGTCAAAAATTTAAATTAAAAAAAAACTAGAAAATACAAAAATGTATTTATAGCAACATGACAAAAATATTTTTAAAATATGTGTAGAAGGAAAGCCTGGAAGGAAGTTCATAAAAATATTATTGGTTATCCATAAAGAGGTAAGTCTATGAGTAAGTTTTTAAACTTCTAGTGTTTTAAATTTAGTGTTCTAATTTTTCTCTGTATTTTTTATGAAAAAATAAAATAAATATATAATAAAATCAATTAAGGATCGCTTACATTTATATTACGGGCCTCCCTGGTGGCCTAGGGGTTGAGTCTGAGCACTGTCATCAAGATGGCTTGAGTTTGATCCCTGGCCAGGGAGCTGACCTACACAGCACAGCAGACCTCTCCTGTCTCACACACTGCTCCCCTCAGCAGTGTATTTCGTGGATCTGTTGTTCTGCTCCCCACTGTGTCTCTGGTGAATCTTCTTACCCTCTGCACTTCTGGACTACACTCCAGTTCTATGCAAAAATAAATAAACAAAAACCTTAAATATATATATTTAATTTACATATTAAGGGCCCTCCCTAGTGGTGCAACGGGTTGAAGTGTAGCAATGCAAGCTGGCTGCAGTGGCTTCAGTGAGAGTTTGATCCCTGCCCTGGAGATGATCCACACAGCGCAGCAGTCCTGGTCTGTCTCACCCTACTCTACCCTACTACTTCATCAATCTGTTTGTTCTGCTCCCCGCTCTGTCTCTGGTGAATTTCCTCACTGACCCTGCACCTCTGGTCTGTATCCCAGTTCTGTATGCATAAAATAAACAAATCTTTAATATATATATATATATATATATATTAAAAAGGCACATGTAACAATATATATGCAAGAAATAGTTTTATCCAGTTAATAGAATTAATATTCCTATGAATTTCAATTCAAGAATGGAGAAAGCAAGGGGAAGAGAAGCAAAGATAGCAAAAGAGATAAAAACAGCCCCAGAAAAGTAGAGAGATCTTATTCTAGAGAAAAACAGATCTTATTCTTGTTCCAAATCTTCCTGTTCTGCCGCGCTGGGTTCCAAGCCTTTCCAGCAAGCCTCTTAGGCTTTTTCTGGCCTCAGTGACATAAACTTCAAATTGAACTTGATCCTTAAGTTCCGTTCCACAACTCACTGGTTTGCTTTTCATCCTAAACCCTCAAGACAAGCAGCAACCATTGACTGAGCCCTCAACTCTGTGGGAACACGGGAGGGGGGGCAGTTTCTCTCTTCCATTTAGTTGATGAGTGGCAGCCTGAGACAGTGACCCAACAGGGAGCACCCTCAGTCTACCAAGAGAGCAGGGCAGACACTAATGACAGAGAAAGGGGAACTGGAAGATGATTAAAGGTGAAACAGGGCGTGGGGGTCAGGAGAAGACACTTTCCAAACTAGAAGGTTTGACAAAAGGCAACACTAGGAATCAGAAGTCAAGAAACAACTGGGTGTCAGGAGTAGAGATCATGGCGACAGGCTAGCGTAGTCCAGGTTGGTAGCAGATTTGAAGAGGCCTTGAGTGCTGAAATGAGGAGCTAGGAATTTACTTTTGGCAGTGAGCATTGCTAACAGTCTTGAGTAGGAAGATGTCAGGGGATGGCAGCGGCACTGGAGGGCTGGCGAAGGCATAATGGCAGGGACAGCAGAGTGAGGCTGACAGCAAGGGGACACACAGTGACTGATGTACTGGTGCCATCCAAGAACTAGGAAGAGCTGTAGGTAGGGAGGGGGCAAAGGTCACCTCATGGGGCTTCCTCCCTCCACCACCAGTGCACCACTAAGAGTCTGTGTTCCCATTTGAAAACCTCTAATCCAGAGTCCTAAGTCCTTCATTTTGCAAATGAGTGAAGTGAGATACAGAGAACTGAAAAGATTTGTCTAAGGTTGATATCAGAGTCTGAACCTGAATTCAGGTCCCTGCCCTAAAGGAGAGTACAAGAGGCAGGGATGAAGTAACAGCAGGCTGTGGAGTTGGGTGTGAGCCCCCTCAGAACCTGGCTGCAATGGCACATCTCAGCACCTCTGCTAAGATGTGGAGGTGAGGTGGCTGCAGCTCTGGGGAAGGGCCCTGGTGGCACAGGAAGCAGACAGTCTTGGCTAAAACTAAACTTGGGGATTATCAGAGGTTTCACTTGTCTAGGATTTCTGTCCCTCAGCTACACACTTTCACACACAGAGCTATTATTTCCCACAGCTGCTGCGGCGCTCACCTGGCCAGCAGTTGCCTAGCAGGTGTGCCTTAGAAATACCTCTCCACAGGAGTAACACCCATCACTAGAGTCTGCAAAATGCTGATAGTCACTTAGCAGTAACATTCACCTGAGATACTACCTTTTTCCTCTGGACCTTACTTTCTTTAAAAGAGGTAAAATAAAGAGGTACCCCCCCCGCCCCGCTCAAGGTACCTTTACAGCACCTCCCAGCTTCAATATCATGGAACATACCCTGGATTCCTTTTCCTCTCACCCAAGGACCCCTCACTCTCCCAGAACTTAGGGGAGCAAACTTCCCCATAAATTGTTCAACAACTGCATCTTGAGTTCCTCCAGCTTCTTCTATGGATTGAAGATTGATTCCAACCAACCCAAGGACAAGAAATTGGGCCAGCAGCTAAGGTTTAAACTAACTGGGGGATCCATCAGTGCTCAAGCTCTGACCCTGGTTCCTGTGGATTGCTGGAAAGATTAGAACAGGAAAGTTTGAGGGCTCAGGATTGCCCCAGAGTCCCAGCCCTGAGCGCTGAGCACAGTACTCTAGAAAGAAAGGGGGAAGAGGGGAGGGGCACCACTCGCCTGGTGAGGTCATGGGAAAGCAGCTCTGGCGCTGACACCTGGGGAAACCCGTTTCTAGGCTGCTTCCCACGCTAGCTCTCCTGGGAACCAGCTAAGCCTCAAGTGGGGAGTCCCGCACCTGCCCCCACCTTCCAGACAGTTTCCCATCACACTGTCCCATGTAGTCCAGTCCCACCTATCAACCTGATCTCCGTCCTTCAGCACCCATCCTTTCTCTCTCCACACTGTTGGGTTACGTGGAGGGCTATGAAGGAGCAATGGCTTGCCAACCCAGGAAATGACACAGAGACAGCTGCTTCAGAAAGTTAAGTTTTATTTGCAGACTCTGCACTGCCCCACCTTACCTTCTAGGTGGTGACCTTGGAGAAAGGTGACCCCCAGCCCCTTCTTCCTTCAGGCTCTAGTTTGCAGCTCCGCCCCCTCCTCTTGCTGGGCCTTGCCTCTCACTTCCTGCCCCACTCCTGGCCCAGCCAGTTTGGGCAGTGCCTAGGGAGCCCTGAGACCCAGTTCTTCCCAGGGACCAACCCCGCCCTCCCTGGCCTTGGGAGCTGAGGGCAGCCCAGGTGTCAGCCCTGCTCTTCAAGGCTACTTCTCTGTTCTCCTAGACTGAGCCCTCTGGCCGGCCTCCTCCCTGCCCATACCCTCCATAGCCTGCTTCCAGTCTCAAGGCTCTAAGGCCTTGCTTCCTGCTCCCTCTCAGCCTCTCACTGGACTCTCTCTTACTCAGTCCATCCCAAACAGCTCTCCAACTTGGCAGTGGGCACCTTCCAGGCCCTCCAGATGCCCAGCTCTTCCTCACCCTTGTGCTAAGAAAGAGGTGGTGGGTACTACAAGGGATGACCATAAGAAACTGTGAATTGGGCCTCCAACTGCTTGGAGGTGGCTGACGTTGGTAGGACCATCCCTTAAAAAATCAAAGTGCTGGAATTTCTCTGTGAGTCTTTACCACAGAAATTCAAGTCAGGCCCCTCCTCTAGGCCCTAGGAGCACCCTGGCATCTAAGAGCCGACAGAGGCCTGTGTCCCCACGGTGTTCCGAGGGGAACTGAGTCCCATGGGGTGGCCTAGCCCTCCCAGGAGCCCCCTTAAAGGTCCTTGGGCCCCAGGTTCCTGAAGTCTGTGGCTGCTGGCCTATGGTTTCCTCAGCTGCCATAACTGTTCAAACAAAGCAGAAGAACTTCTTCCAGCGGCAGCGGGACAAGGTGCGCACACCTTTGGCGTTCAGTTTCTTTTCTAGTCTGGCTTTGTGTTCAATGGCACTGAGAATGGCAGAATCAAACACCTCCTTCAAGTTCTTCTGCGTCAATGCCGAGCACTCCAGGTAGCAGCAGGCCCGGATCTTCTCTGCTAGGCCCTGAGCCTGAGGTTGGGGCACTGGGCCTTCCCGGCCCCCCTGGTCCAGCTGAATCAGTACATTAACATCATCCCTCAGGTCAGCCTGGGTGCCCACCAGTAACACTGGCGCCTGGGGGTTGTGAGTGCGGATCTCCGGCAACCACTTCTCTGTGATATTTTGGAAGGAGCTGGGCTGCACCACGCTGAAGCAGGCCAGGAAGACATCGGTATCCGGGTAGCAGAGGGAGCGAAGGCGATCAAAGTCTTCCTGGGGTGGGAAGGTTCGGTCATTAGTTGGATTATCCCAGGCCACGGTGGGTGGGGGGTGAGTGTAAGTGAGAGTGTGTGTGTTTGTGTGTGTGTGTGTGTGTGTGTGTGTGTGTGTGTGTGTGTGAGCTGCTTGTCTCCTGGGGCTAGAGACCTAAGACTTAATACCACAGGCTTAAGGCCTTCTCCATTCCTCTACTATCTGAGGTCCTCCCAGCTTCCAAGCCACCTTCCCCCACACCAGTAGAGGCCGCGGCTTCTCACCTGTCCCGCAGTATCCCAGAGCTCAATGCGCACGGGGGCTCCATCCACCAGGACTTGCACTGCGGAGGGGAGTGGGGGGTGTTGAGGAGGTTGGATAATGTGAGTTAGGAAGAGCGTCCCCCCAGATTTCTCCAGCGCCACCTCCGGGCTTGCTCCAGCCTTCCCTCCGCGCTCGCGAGCCCCACCGCCAGGGCGCCCGCCCAGCCCCGGGTGCCCTACCCCACCCCCAGCCAAGCGGCAGCCGGGGCCGTTGAACGTACCGGAGAAGGTGTCCAGCGCGGTGGGCCGGTAGCGCGCGGGGTACCCATTGCAGGTGTAGCTCACAATGAGGCTGCTCTTGCCTACCGCTCCGTCCCCCACCAGCACGCACTTAATGCCCAGCTCTGGGGGCGCGCTGCCCCGCCGCGGGGGAGGGGTAGGGACCCGCAGCGGGGACGACTCGGCCTCGCTCAGCTCCCGCGGGGGCATGGCCCGCTCCGGGAATAGACCCGGACCAGGCTCCGCAGCGCTGGAGGAAGCGAGTCCCGCTGGCCACCTCGGACTGAGTCGGCGGAGGCTGGCGCGCCAACCCGCCGCTACCCGCAGGTATAAGTGGGGCCCCGCCCACCTCATCTGCATAACCCGAGCGCCCGGGACCCCGCCCACCCGCCGGACCTACCCTTAGACCTCCCTTCGCGACGCACGCGGGAGACCGAGCAATCTGGAACCACCCAAAGGAAGGGAGGCGTCGGAAAGCTGATGCTCAGAGAATCGCACAGGTTACAGGACAAAGAAGCTCCAAAATGAGGCATATCTAGGTATGGTTGCAGAGAAAGCGAGCAGAGTTAATTGTTGGGAAGGAGAAAAAAATTGCTGAATACTATGCAGCATGTTCACATTCAACCTTTGTTCAAATTAAAGCCAAAACTTAGATATATGTTTTTACAAATACAAAACTCTCAATAATGATATTATTAATCAAGGAATGATGTTAAAAATGCAGATCATAAAAGATTAAAATTTATTAAAAAATTTTTTAAAGATTGATTTATTTATGTATACAGAACTGGGTTACAGGCCAGAGATGCAGGGGCAGCAAGAGGATTCACCAGAGACAGAGTGGGGAGCAGAACAGGCAGATCGAAGTACACTGCTGAGGGGAGCAGCGGGTGGGTCAGGAAAGGTCCGCTGTGCCATGTGGTCACCTCCCTGGCTGGGGATGGAACTTGTGCTGAAGCGGCTCTGGTTAGCCTTATAGTGCTGCACTTTAACCCATTGCAGGGCCAGGGAGGGTCCAAGATTAAAATTTAAAAATACAAACATATAGTTGATGGGGAAGTAGAAGATAAACCTACCTATGACCACGTGGGCAGGTATTTCTTATAGCCCCTTCCACAGAACAGGTTCCTCTAGACTCTCCTTAAAGGCAGGCTTTAAATATTTCTACTTCCTTCTGCCAAAGGAACTCAAAATGCTGGAGAAGCCATCTGAGGAGGATCTTCAAGGACAGTTCCTCATTTGAATATTTCTAAATCCCTAGAGTCCCTAATATTATCTTCTTCATCAAAAGCGTGGTAATTACCTATTTGCAGATGCTGTTTTGGGCCACCCACTGTCCTTGCCCTAGGAGTTTCCAAACTGAGACAAGATAGCCCAGGTACCATAGGAAGGTCACCCAGAGAGCAAATGAAGAGTAGCCTGATGCTAATTTTGTCTCTTTATTGCAGCCACACCAAGTGACACCAGGCTCAGAATCCTTTCTCTGAACCCAAAGGCCCTCTTTTATCTCATCCTATACAAAGATCACAGAAAACACCTCTTTCATGCTTTGTTGCAGAGAGAGTATTGGGAGGGTAGGGCAGTGAATATTAAAGAAAAGAGATAATCCTTTTTCTCAACTAGTTTGTAGTATAAAGTGCATAAATCCAAGTCTCTAAATCAATTACAATAAGTCTGAGGATTCCTGATTATTACAATTATTATTAACTATTGTTTAACCAAAAGGAGAAGGTGGCAGAATGTTGCTGATTTAAACCCGAAAATCTCTGGACAAAAAAAATAAACTAATGGCCATCGATAACAGAACTGAAGTTACCAAAGGTGGAGAGGGTGGAAAGGTGGGGGGTGTGGGAGAGTATAGTGGATGCTGATGAGTGTTTGTGGCTTTTTATTTCTTTACAAAAGTAGTAGAGCATTTTTAGTTCCCATGAATAAAGTACATTTTTAAAGCTATAAAGTGTGAGAATATCATCTTAGAAGCAAAATGTTTTTAAACCACCAAATATATTTTAACACTGACTTATGTGTCACTTTTATACAACTTAAAAACATATATCTCCCTTTAGCTTTTACAACTTAAAATGTTGTGCTGTTAAAATACTGAAACTGTACCAATAGGGGAAGCGCTAACAACTTTTCTGAAAATCACTAAGTATAATGTTGTTTTTAGGCAAAGAGGTTTCCAATCAGTGTAATTTCCTAATCATTTCTGAGTCACCTTCTAATACAGTGGAAAGTATTTTTAAAAATTAAAATCTTGGTGGTGCAATGGGTTAAAGCTCAGCACTGTGAAGCCAGCAGCAGCCCCTTTAGCTCAAATTAGATCTCCAGGCAGGGAGTTGATCCACATGGCACAGCAGCAGATCTCTCCTGTCTCACCCACTGCTCCCCTCAGAAGTGTTCTTCTCAGTCTGCGTATTCTGCACCCCACCCCACTCTGTCTCTGTTGAATCCTTTCACACACTCACGTACCTCTGACCTATACCCCAGTTCTTGTATGTATAAACCAATCTTTTTTAAAAAGTTAAAATCTTGACTTGGGCAAATGGTAGGATTCCCAGTATCTACTTCAATACCCCACAGTTTACTTCCTATGATTCCTATATCCAATTGTCTGGAGAGGCTAATAATCCCTCGTTAATCTTCCTCAAAGATTCTCAGACACATCCACCTATGTGTACTCATAGAAAAAACAGTGTTGTCTTGCATTATCCCCCTCCAAACCCCCACCCTTCTCCAAGGGTAGCAAGAATAGAAGTGTAAAAAGAGAGACCTGACGGTCTGAAGACTTGTCTCAAGATTCTCAGTTCTTTGCCTCATTAACTAAGTAATTCCTGAGTTAGTGCTTGATCCTTCTCAGTGCTATAAAATGACAGGAGAAGCATGTTTATTTCTGAAAGTCCTTCTGCTGCTAGGATCTGTGATTCAGGGAACCTAGGGATCCCAGGGCCCAGCCCAGGTGGGATGAAATGACTGTACACACAGGTTATTCTTCACAGTGCTCTTGTCCTATTATCCAATTTTTATAATAGTCTTTTATTTGCTTGATTTTGGGAATTATAAATTTGGGGGCAATCATGTTTAATTCTTTCTGCAGGTATAAATAATACACAAAAGGAGGTAAGTTCTGCTGGGTTTGGGCAAAAGCCCTGACTTGGCCTGAGACAGGCTATTCTTTGCTGGCCCCATGGGTGGAGATACTTTCTGAGTGAGGTCCCTCTGTCTGAGCTGGTTTAGGGACAGTCTTGTCAGCAAGAGGGGGAGGGAGGAGACAACCTGGGGAGCAGGTGAGTCACCTATTTCTCAGCTAAGGACTTGACATTCTGGCTGCTACTGCTGGGAAAGTCACCTCCTAGGGAGGGTTCAGTCTTATTCCTGCCCACCTGATAGATCTGTTCCACCTTCCAGCCAGACACACATTTGCTAAGATTAACACTTGGCCCTGACATTCTTCTCAGAGAAATGATTGATTCTAGGACTGGGGCAGAACTATGCAAGAAGAGACTGGGGCCTTTTGTTGTATGGAAAGTAAGGAAGTGCTATGCAAACAAAACAACCAGAAGACAAAGTTATGGCAAAGGGACACAGAAGCCAAGTGGGCTTCCAAAGGTCAAATCTGCAGCAACCCAAATGAATGGTAACCCAAAGTATAAAATAAATCAAGCCACAAGTCAAGCCTGACAGAAACAAATGCATAAATAAATGGGAGTAACAGACAAATCTCCACGGAGAATTCCAAATATTGCCTGTAGATACACCCTCAAGGAGAAGCATGAAACCCTAGTTCTTAAGTAAGGGCTACTGTAGTTGGATAGTGACTCCTTCATAAGAAGGCAGTAAGAACACTGCTGGGGGGGAGGGGAACAGCCTTACAGTGGAGAAACCTGACAATCAGCCCCTTGGCGATCAAGATAAAGATCAACACCCATCAGCTGAGTTGATCCACAAGCCCTAGATTAGGTATGTCGAGACCACTTGTCCTCTGTGATCTTTTTCACTAGAACACAGGAGCCCTGACAAATCATGAGAAAAAATTGGGAAAGTTCTAATTGAAACTATTCTATGAAATGCCTACCCAGTCTTCTTCAAAACTGTCAAGGTTATCAAAATCAAGGAAAATCTGAAAAACTGTCCTAGTGAAGAAGAGCCTACAGAGATATGAAAATTAAATCTAATATGATATGCTGGGTAGGATCCTGGAACAGAAAGAGGGCATTTGGGAGAGACTAAGGAATTCTGAATAGAGTGTAGAGTTTAGTTTATAATGATACATCAATGCTGGTCCATTAATTATGACAAACACACTACATTAGTGTAAGCTGTACATAATGGGGGACTCTAGGGGGAGGAAAATGGGAACTCTCTATACTATGATCTCAATATTTCTGTAAATCTAAACTGTCCTAGCATAAAGTGTGTGTGTATATATATATTAAAATCTGAAAACTGGGGCCTCTCTGGTGGTGCATGGGGTTAAGTCTCAGCACTATGAAGCTCTCCACAGCCACTGTAACACGAGTTCCATCTCTGGCCAGGTAGCTGACCCACATGGTGTGGCAGACCTCTCCTGTCTCTCCTGCTCCCCTCAGCAGTGTATTTCAGTTAATCGGCCTGTTCTGCTCCCCATTCTGTCTCTGGTGAATCCTCTTATCCTTCCCACTCTCCCCTTCGGCGTCCCCCAATCTCTGACCTGCACCCCAGCTCTAGTATGCATAAATAAATAAATCTTTCAAAAAATAAATAAATAATTAAATGAAACCCTGCCCTTGGTGTTGAATCGTGGCTGTAATATTTTGTTTTCAAAATGTCCAACACAGTTAAATGGAACTTTCAACTTGCAGGTGCATTAGCTTGCTGTTTCCTAAGCACTCAAGGCACCGGCTTGAGGGATTGTGGGTTGGGGTGAGTATGCTGGAGCTCAGAGGAGGTAAGGGAATGGTTCCAAGGTCAAAGAAGCTAGGAAGTGGCAGGTAGTCCCAGAACCAGCAATCCACAGGTCCACCCTCACCTGGGTCAAATTCTTTGGCATTTTTGTTTCCCTTATCTTGTTTAGATTTACTTGCAAACATTCAGATACCTACAGCAAAACTTCAAGAAGAAATCTATCCCTGCCCCTCCACCATGACTTTTCCTACTGCTGAAAAATAGATTAACAAAAGAACATTAGCTGTGAGGAAGGGTCTTCTCAAAAATTTCACAGTTTCTCTGAGAGTGAAATGCACCAGAAGCATTCTATTTCTTTGTGTTTCTCACCCCAACCGCCTAGATGGGTCCTTCTGTT